CACCTGTATCTCCGGAACCAAAGAAGATGAAGACCTGGGCCTTGCGTAGTTTTGAAGAGAAATGTTTCGGCTATCAAATGATATTATAGGAGATTGTATTTCATGGTGATGTTTAGGAACGGTAAGCTTTCGGATTTTGCCTCGAATGGTACACCATGGTAAATCTGATGGAACGCCATGATTTTTTCACAGATCTACGTGCCCCAGTGCCTAGTTTCAGAAACTGAAAACCGCATCTCTCTATCTATCACCGTTCCGGAGCTATAAGGTCAACACTGACGGGGCTTATTATTTTGAAATGGATAGTAATGACAATGAATCAATATGTCATTTCATAACACATTCGAAACAGAATACGAAATTATTTTGTATCAAGACTTCAATAAAACATCTTTTAGAACTGACATACCGATACACAAAATCTTGAAACCGAAAGACCGATTTGTTAAATAACTTCATCTAAAAAGATATCTGTATGATTTTCTGTTTATTATTAAATATTTTATCGATAAATTAACTAGAATTTTATCCAACACCGAGATTGAAAACAGACAAAGAATAAATAAAGAGCATACCTTATGATAGAATGAAAAAACGAATTGTTAAAGTACGAGGATGAATTTTCTAACAAAACGGTCCGATTTGAAAAAACAAGTGAAGACGACCGTCGGGACTAATCGGAAACCTAAGATCTTCTACTACAGAATGCGATAGAAACTTATGCTATACAAATGTTTGCAACAAAGATTAAACATCTTTTTCTAAGTAGGTTTTGAAACACGTATCCTATTTGAATTCAATTTCGTTTTTTCAGTGGCCATCACTTAGCATTCCCATCAAAGTTTCATCCCTGAAAAACGCAGTTTGTACCTGTACGAATTAATAAGAAAAAGATCCCAAAAATTTTTGCCTGTCGTATATAGATTTAAAGTTGTTTCAGTTACTATGAGACATGCACCCAAACCATTTGGATCGTTTTTACCTAAATGAAGAAAAATGCCTTCATATACTGAATCACAGAACACAAAACTTTTCCAACAGAGCAAAAAACTGAAGTAGAGAAATGACACTACAGAATACTAAAAGAAAGTTTTCGCCACCGCTGTAAGACTACGTACTAGAATCAATCAAAAACCCAAGCTCATTGAGTCTGGGTTTGGAGGGTGCTTCAATTTTCGTTGAGTCTCTTGTTTAACCAAACAACTTATTGGATCATTCTCTGTTTAACTGTCTGTGAAAGACTTTCTTCTTTATTAATGGCATGACAGTTTATTAATATAGTCCATATTCAGCGGGATAAGTTCGAATATTTGAATTCACTTATTGAGTTTGGGTGCATGTCTAGTTACGATCGATATTTTACGTTTATCGTGTTAACAAGAAACAAATATCCATCTTATCTTGACTTTAATAAGAATGCCTCATTTAATTACGTTTTGTTTTTCATCAAGGGAGAAATAATGGGAACACTTTCATTGTTAGTAATCACACATTTTTTAATATCGATATACCGATCTTAACCTATCAATTTAGTTATGAACCGAATCGAAGCCGAGATCAGTTTGAAAAGTCACGAATCGAACTGTGCCCATCTCTGATATATCCTTTATGAGATAGTATCACAAAAAATGATTTCTTTGGCAACAGGGTTCCCAGGAAAAGTCCAATATCACAAGAATGGAAAAATATTCTTTCAAACGACTTGCGTCAAAATTCCTAAAACATATAAAATGGTCATGACCTTTTCCCAATACCGTAATTGATATTCCAAACAAAATTTAATTATTCCTTCAATATAATACTTTTCTCATTTCTATTTAGCTCAACAAATAAACGTTTGGTTAAAGACTGACATTCTTTATTATCTATCTATCACCTTGATAATAAACTAAAAAAAATACATTGGTATATAGAGACAAACAACACTTGATAAAAGTGAGTGTTTTTCGATTGCAGACTGTTATCACCTTCATCTCACATGACAAGAATGTTGTATTTAATTTCTTAAAGAGAGAGAAAGTAAAATAAACTGTTTATCGGAGAGTCTCCGAAAATGGTAGAATATTATCTATAGTTACGGACGAGAAGAAGAAAAAATAAGAAACAAAAAATTTTTGTTGATATGATAAACATTTAAATAAAATATTCAAAGAGACGTGCAGCTAACAATAATTTATATTTATAATGAAAATGATAGTTTCTCTCGCATTTGTTTTTATTGGCTTGATTAGTTCTGTCAAGGGTTATACTTGCTCTTGTTACTGTCGAGGCAGCTATATCGGTACGACTTACTCGAGTTCGTGCTCCGTTTCGGCGTGTGCAACAGCGTGTGAATACGAGCATGGTTACCGATGTACAGCCTATACCGCTGGGTTAATATATTCAAAGTGAAATTATATTACCGTATGTATGTGTATTCTCCGAACCTGTTTCTCGAGTCAGACCACGTCAAGACCAACTTGGTACACTTGTAGGTATCGATGTGCATCGTCGATGTCTGATAGTTTGAGCGTTGTTGAAACGGCAGTCTCTTCTACATGCTCAACAAGCGCATGCTACGTGGCTTGTGATCGTGAATATCCATATAGTTTTAGTTACACAAACCAAGCTTATTGTGGAGCTCTCAATATTCGTGCTCTCCCATCGTTAATTTTGTTAGCTGCCGCAGCCACTTTTTCCTTCGGTAAACGACTGTGACCGCAATCAAATGCTCTACTTATTCGTACGATTGTGTTATACATACAAAAGTTTTGATATTTCTCAAGTTTTTTTTATTTATCCCTGAAATAAAATAAACTTCGTAAAAAACACGAAACTCCATTCACTCTGTCACGATGATCTCCATTCCATCAAAAAGGCTTCTCAATCACCATCACGAATGTCACATCATATTTTAAGCAGAAAAGAACAGCTGACTTGAAGATTCTGTTCACTACTTCAGGATAGTTATTACGGTACAATGTTTATTCTTTCGAAAAAACAAATATCGATAAAAGAGTAAGGAGTTTATATAATGTCAGTAAAATGGGTAATGTCGATTGTATTTGTATTTTTAGTGATTGGGAGAAATAATTTGAGCAGTGTGTTCCCAAACCTTCTGGACCATTTCTACTTGTACAGGTTTCTTCTTTGTTACGGTTTCTCCTTTAGTACCAATATAGGTGTAGCCTTTGTCTGCTCCGAGCATTCCATGTACCATATATTCAGCACAGTCTTCTGGAGTAACACGCAGGCCGAGTGCCAGGAGACCTGCCATGAGGCCTTTCAGTGGTAATCGCGCCCAGAATGGTAAATTATCGGCTATTGGCGTATTAACACCACCTGGATTTGCATGTGTAAATGCTACATTTGTATTTTCCGGTTGCGAACCGAGATATTTTATGGCGAGATCGGTAAACGATGCTGTATGATTGGCAGCCGCAGAAAGTGAATATGCATTTTCGAGTGACATATCATTCCAATTGATTTTTGACGGATTTTCGTTGACACCACCCAATACAAAGAGAACTTTGCCACCATTCTGAGATGATCGAAGTAGCGGAAGGAGTTCTTGTACGAATAAAACTCTTCCATAGTAATGTAAAGCCAATTTATTGTCAATATTTTCTGTCGTTGGAGTACGACCAGCCATTGTTAATATGCCTTGTGTTAATATAAGCATATCGACCACATTGATTTTCTTCGTAGCATTTCGAATTTCAGACATGAGTGACACATCGGCGCGGATAAACTTTGAATTTGAACCTAATTGCGATAGTATAGCATCAGCGGCAGATTGATTCCGTCCAATAATGGTGATCGAGGCAGAAGGACAATGTTGACCTATTGAAAGAGCAATTGCCCGACCAATGCCCGATGTCCCACCGACTACAACGACGTTTGGAGGTGGCTTGAAAGACGATAAAATGCGAGCATTTGACGCAGCAGCGGCTCGTACAGCAGCACACATATCAATATAGAATTTTTAATAGACGTTCAGAAAGTTTAATCAAAATTTTTGATTTTTTATCTGAAATGAACATTATAAACAGTATGGGAAGAGTAAACTATTTCTTACACTAAGACTATGACCAATTTAATTTTGCCCTTGACATAAGTAGTAATGAAGTACAACGGTTTCTCATTTTTCATCGTACTATTCTAACGGACAGTAACAAAGTTGCCTTCTGAATTTATTGCTATTTCACTTTCTGAGTCATTTGCTCATTATTTAAAAGAATTGATTTATACCCTACCATTGCGTCCTCTATAGAAACGAACTTTTTCTATTTAATTAATGTGAGCTAAATATATTTAACATCATATGGAACTTAGCGTAAATAATTTCCTATGTATTTTCAGAACAGTTACTTTAAAACGAAACTAGATTCTTATCTGTCTTATTCTCAATCCTGAAAGGATGAGTATAAAAATCGGAAATTGCTCGTCTGTTTGTCCGAGGTCAAAGGTCAAAAGAACACCGTCAAAGATGAACACGTGACTAAGTTCTACCAAAACTTCACCCAAGGTAATCGAGGAAGGAGAATCCGAATCTGAAGTCCGTTTTTACAACCCCCCCCCCCACGCAAAGGCCGACCAATCAGAAACGCGCTTTTTTATTTTAAGGCTTTTCGAAGTTTTGATTGAACTTTACTACAGGTTATCGGGACCAGGAGTCTGAGTCTGAGGTCAGCTTCAACATTACTAATTAGCAATCAGTTACTTACTGATTGCCCAGAAACACTAATTTTACGAGAAAGTGCTAAGCTAGTCCTCGGACGAGCGTTACTTGCTTTGTGTTGCTGTGGTGTCCGAATTGATCAATGGATGTTAGGAATTGTTGCGGTTTGGTATTTCTCGTCCAGAAAAGGTGTTTTTTCTTAAAACCACGGTTTAATCGTGGTGGGTGCTGAACAGTCTATGTTGGTATTGAGTAATCTGAATTGATCAATTGTTATACAATCGTAGTATTAAATTCACTAAAAGGATTTACAAATTAACCCTCTGATGTTGGAGGTTTACGATATGTCGCTCTTTTTTCTGGATCCTGAAGGGATGAGTATAGAAATCGGAGCTTGCTGGTCTGTTTGTTCGCGCTCTGACTGGTGAATTTTTCTCGACCGATAAAAATGCATCTTTCGCATAGTTTATAGATTCTAAAGTACTATACTATGCTAGCATCCTTAGACTCTCAAGTACTACATAAAGTCTGACCAAAGGTTTTCGGGGTCGGGATATCGAGTGGGGCTATCATCGATCAAAAATTTTATACTTGACTTTGTCACTCAAGAGTAGGGTGTTTTGAGGAAATAGCGGTATTTTATAAAGTTTGACCAAAGGTTTTCGGGTCGCGGAATCGAATGGCCCCATGAGCGATCAAAAATTTTGTATTCAATTTTTTCTCAATCCTGAAAGGATGAGTATAGAAATCGGAAAATGTCGATTTGTTTGTCCGGTCTCTGATTGGTCAGTTTTTCCCACCTATAAAAATGCATCTCTTTCAGAACATAGATTTCCCACTGCTATACTACTGTGGTACTCTTGGGTCCTCAACTGCTACCATATAGGGGTATCCAGAGGTTCTCCGGGACTATTATGGGGGTACCCTTTGATGGTCAACTACTTTTCGCAATCTTGAAAGGATGAGTATGCAAAACGGAAATTGCCCGTCTGTTTGCCGGTACTTTTATTGGTCAAAAACGGACCAATCAGATTTGGACAAGAGTTTTCTCGGATGTTAGTGAGATAAAACATGGTCATCGTCGGGCTAGTTTAGGGATTATCGAGGTTGCTCTTTCAGTCGAGACCCATGATGCCTATGTTTTGTCCCACTATTGGTGAAAACGGTTGCTTGTATGTGGTTATCGACAAAATGGACTACTGACCTTTAAGAATGCCTGAAAATGAATAGTGAAATTTCAGATACGCGGAAAGATTGCTCCTTCGATTTCAGTATGCGTGAAAGCGAGTTAATTGGGTTTCAAACTTTCTGTAAATGAGCCAATTCTGATTAAGGTAAGCACCCAAATCAGGCAACTAGATTTCAAGATCTGCGAAAAAGGAAGAAACAGATCGAGTGAGACCACAATATGAGCTTTTTGGATTTTCGGATCTTTAACGATTTTTTAGTGAACGCCAGTAGGAATGGAGCTGTGAGGTGTACTGGAGACCTGAAGGGAATGTCGGACGGTAAAATGAGTATAGTTTTGGACGTGATTGAAGGGCTGTTTATGCGGTAAGAATTTGGAGAAGGATTAGCTCTAATTGATGTAACTGAATGATGATTCTAATGGTTCCCACAAAGGCAGAAGCGACGAGTCGGGCCGGGGCGCCGACGACCGACGAGGAACGTGGTTGCTGCGTTAGCTGGAATCTTAATGTACCAGACGTACTCGTGTCAGAGACATGATCAAGAGCACTCGAGCAATATTCAGTGTATTTACTGAAGTTTAAAGCGCTTCAATGCAAGATAATCTCTGCAGTTGATAGTTTCATTGTGAATTGCGCTCTTAAGTAGAATTTGGTTTGTGGAACTCTTTGATTGCGAAAATTTTCGTAATGAGACCGGGTCAAATCATGTTTGTTAATGTGATCAGTGTACTTAGAAAATTATGAAGAATTCATGCTGTCCGTGTGTTTGTCGGGTTCCCAACAAATAATAGACATCTCCGAAGGAAAAACAGAAAGTGGAAACAATGTGTGTTGAGGGTAGTATAATCGTTAGTTTAGGAGATAAGAGCAGTAGAATTCTAAATATATTATTGACTAGAATGAAGGTGTATATATTTTGTCATCAATTAAACGACTATATGGGCAAAATCATTTGTTAGCGACGTGACTTCGTAAAATTGAACTGCATATATTTCTAGAGAATGAGTTTATTTAGAGCTGATTTTTAGTATGCTGTACGTATATTAAGTTGCTCTAGACACCCTGAAAAAAATAACCTTACGCACCCTTGTTCGTTAGAGTTAAGATTAAAAAACTAGCATTAGCGACGTGACTCGAAAAAGGACATCAGTTTCCACTTCAAGCATTTCAGTTTGAAAAAACTGCGGATCCAAACACTATTTTCGAAAACTAAACAGTACATGCTGCAGATGACTCTTGTAGCCCCAAAATATCTTACCAACGTTTTTTCTGAATATGTTTAGATTTTTAAATAAATTGAGTTTATTTGGCGTTAGCGACGTGACAGAGTACGAGTGCATATCCGAGAAGGTGCTGGCATAATCAAACGAAAAACTTAAAATCGATTTCAGATGGTACAAATTGTTACTCATAGTCCGTAGATTATTCTAAGACAACATTTTTCGTTTGTATACTTCACGCGAGCTATAGGAGGTCCAGTTTTTGGAAGGATCTTTTCTGAATTCGATCTCGCTGAAAATTTTACCATAGATGTAGCTCGGGATGTAGAGTCTATTCTGAAATTTTCAGGTTTTTTCATTGCGTCGTTGGGGAGATATTCACTAATTACTTATTAGTTAATTAACTAATTAACTAATTAGTTTTAATTAATACTCATGTGAAAGAGGAAACATTTTTAGATAAGCTTATGCAAAAAGAGTTTATTCAGAAAATAAGGCCTCGTGTAGAATAATGGGTGAATGAAGGAGGTAAATGTCCTATTTTGCCTGATTTTGCCCATATAGTGAACTCTGCCATTTGTGCAAATGGATCATCGATTTAGGAGGAAGTGATCACTAAGTAGGAACATGTAAACTAACTTTGAGTAGGATCGTTTTACAGAGAAGTTTTGAAGAAAAGTGACTAAAATTTTTACTGGGCGATTAGCCATGTTAACTAATATCTAAACTAATCAAACGATCTGAGTGAACGGTTTTAGCACAGTAAGGTATTATTCCTCTGTAGTCTGCTTTCAGGATTGAGCTAAGCAAGGCTAGAATAGCCGACGCGTTACTTGTGATTGGATTATCCAGAAAATACTCAACATTCATTTCCATATTTTATGGACACATTCTTTTTCGTAAAATCCTTAATAATAATAATAATATTGATTGAGAATTAACCAACAGAGTAGAAAGTAGATCAAGAATCTGTATCTTTCACGCGATATCGAATTTTAATTAAACAATTTATTATTTTTTTTATAAAAAACCAACTTTGAATGATGATGAATAGACAACCCATAAAAAAATTCACTCACTTTGTTCTGTTGTTTTTTAATAGAATATTTTATTCGTTACATCAAAAATAATATTATCATTTTTTTTAACCATAACATTTGTCTAAGTATGACGTTTGTGAAAGAAGAAGGCAAAAAAAATGTCTGAATAAACGCGAGAGAGGGAATCATACATCATACTTTCTTTTGCGCAGTGTAATATAGAACAGAAAAGAAAGAAGAATAGTCATCGGCGTCCATATAATGTGTCGCCTACTAAAAAGAATCATGCAGCAGACATACTATAGATAACAAAAAATGTTAATTCTCATATATGAGTCGCGTTGTTCAGTGTATGCCTAATAACAATGTCTACATGGGGGATTTCGATGTATGGACTATTTATTCAACTTTTTCTTAATAATATTTATCATTCATTACATACTTAGAGAATATATTCGATAAGGAAACGTAAGATGAAGATTTTGTTGCTGATGGTGAATACATGCGTTGAAAAATTCCAAAGTATCAACATCTTGGCATGACGAATAAAATATAAAATTATAATATGCGAATCAGAAACAGTCTTTAGGATTTCATCAGCTTTGTTTATGAAGAAACTAAACATGAACATACATTTAGAGAACGACATAAACGGTCAAGATTCTTTGTGCAAATTACACTTAAATAAATAGATCCATGTCTATAATGTTGCAAAATCCTTCAGATCAGTGTTACTGATTCCTATATATGATCTAGTGAGACCGAAAATGCTACAACCAAGGAAACAATGGACGTCGTCTGATCTGTTCAATGATCTGCAATTCGGAATATGAAAAGTGACTTTCACATACAGTCCATTGGATATGCAATTGTCTGTTTCTCTGCAAGGACACAATTTGATATAGTAATTCGATTGAGGTTTTGCAACCCACGTTCAACTAATAACTAAGTCATTTGGTATTATATTTAAAGCTTTAAATATTTCTCTAAAGTTTCGAAATATAAAAAATATATTTGGAAAATGTGCATGGTTTGTCTATGCACGGAATAGAATGTGTTTGAAGATCATCCATTGATTAGTCGGTTTTTTTAAACTTATTCAATGACCTCAGTATTATTTGAATAATATCTCTTTTAATTTAGTATTGATCATTTTCGAAGACATATTTCAAACGAACAATGCAGGATGAGCAACTGTGAAAAACAACATCTGCTCTATGAAATAGGTAAAGCTTTTCCGGCATCATTGTTGTGTTAAATGATGAGTGTGAGGTCTTGCATCGTCTGGTTGGAATGCCCAGTTTTCTCTTATACCTTATTTTTGTTTTTCAGCGCCACCGAAAGAATATGCTGAATGTCCTGAGATTCGTTCATTTTAAGAATTGTACATACTGGCGATATCGAACAATTTTTCGTCTGAGAATTCAATCCGCATCATGTCGTTCTTTTGAAAGCTATGATGCATAGAAAGTGATACAATATGTAATACACTCTTGTAGAAGATGAACACATTTTTAGACGAGCACAATATTGGCATACCTTTGTCTTTGTTTGCACTTCATACAGTTGGGCTAAGAATCGTTGAAGGTATTCAAAAGTGTCTCAATTTAAGAGCCGAGCAAGTATTTGCTACTTGGTATTTTATAAAAAAAAATTATGGCAATCTAACTGCAGCAGTAATCTTGTTGTTCCCCAGCATCTTATACATCATCTACAATTGGTATTTCCCGATACAAAACAAGATATTTCTTTTCCTTCGAACTTATCCAGCTACAAACATTGTTGGATCAGCAAATGGATCAGGATTTGTCATCGAGTGTATCATTTTTGAGATTTAACGCAAAGATAAAACTATCTATATACTTGGAATTCTAACTATCTCCACGTTTTTTGAGGAAAATTCTGAATCGATTTTCCAAGTAATTTGACTAACATTTATTTTTGATGAATACGGAAATGTCAATAACGTTTTATTTATTTCAAAACTGAACAATATTGATCAAATGGAATATTTTCACGGAGAAATAAACAACTATTAGGAATACACATGAGATCATTTTTAACAAAACTTGCAAGTTATCAAAACAGAAATGATACCATAGAAATATATACGTATACAATCAGATAGACAAAAATGGTAAAAGACCAAGAATTTTACTGACTTGATTTCGATTAAGATTGATTCGACGTTCCGTGATGGTATGCATGATGCTTAATAAACCTGAGCTGTTCGGTGCATGCCCGCAGAAAAGATTTTGTCAGTTTAACTTGAAAAAAAAATGGAAATCTTCAGCGAAATGCTGAGCTTTTAAGAATTATTTATGACTGTATAGCTCCTTGATGGACGATTACGTTGAATCGAAATTTCAGCAGCTTGACTCATTGCAACGGACTGTCGAGAATAAAACGCCTGTGGAAATTGTACACAATCAAGGCTAATTAGGGAAGAAGATTGGGGAGAAAACCAAAAAAGATATTGGAACTATCGTGACACAGCACCACCTTACTGACACTTACATAGGGCATAGGTGTGGGGTGTGAATGCAGAGTACGGATCAGAGCCTATGAAGTTTGAAATTTTTGGACTCGGATCCAGTCTGCTGCACGTCTTTCGAATCCTGTTCCGACGAAGAGTCGGCGCTCGGACTCGCTTAATTAAACTTTTTTGAACGCTACCTGGACTCGACACTCAACTCAGCAAACAATGAGTTATCAGACCTGGAGCTTACCTGGATGCGGATCTAGGGGAAAACAGCGAGCTTTAAGACTTCTAACTTTCACGAGACTTCAGAAGACTTGATGGATGCCAAGAGACTTTAATCACATAGACTCCAAACCTTGTAACGGCTTCATAAGGCTTCAGGAGAATTCATCAGACCTCAAATCCAAAGTCTCTGATATCTTTCCGTAGATCCGGATCCGATATGACAGGTTCTCACGTGGGTGTGGACATTGCCCAGTAGGAGATATCCGTACCTCACGTAAGTTTTGGTACGGTAGTGGTATGCGCAGAAATGTCAATAAATTGAAACTATAGTTATGATGTCGAACTATTCTTCAAAAAGTCACCCGTTGCCAATCTCGTGTTTTTAACTACGAACGTCATTCATGTTTTTCTATCGATTATTTCTATTTTCAACTATTATTCATTCGCTTATTCGAATTGCACATTCAGCCTACTACTATACATGTAAGAAACGTATCAATTGATGTCCTCTTTTGCTTGTTGTGTTCAGTAAATTACATATTTAACATATGATGTTGCTTAATTTTATCTATTCGTTATAGATTGGGAATGTCGATTGGATTCTCACGTGTGGACATGTTCAAGTAAATAACAAATCTTTTGTGTGTCATTGATAGTGTTTATATATTTAGGTAACCAAAAGTGTGGCAACACATATAAATCATGCATTGGTAACCCATCAAAACCGTTAGAAACTCATATTGTGGTAATAATAGTACTTTGCATCGTCATTCCTTCAATTTTTATTGTTGGATGCGCGTATTATTGCCGAATCTATCGAATAAAACGGGCAAAAGCACGAATTGCTAGACAAATGCAAGACATTGCTCTTCTAAATCAACAACAAATGATTTATTTCATCAGTCGACACCCAATGTCCGACAAATATTGAACCTCCAATTCTAGAAATCTCTCCACCGACTTACGAACAAGCTCAAACACAAAAAATTGAACATTGAATAACACTACATTTTCAATAAAAATCTATCAAATTCCTTGTTAAGCTATGAAATAATCAATCTTCACTCAACTTTTAATAGATAGGCAAATTTTCGCTTTTCTATTAATCTGATGAAGAAAAGGTCGTTTCATGCAGAGCAGAAACTTTGTGTCGCCTTCGCTGACGAAATAATATACTTCAATTCATAGAACTCTGAATATTCCTTGGAATTCGAAAAGGTTCTGTGAAAACCAAAGACGATCGAACACCATGCAGATTACAGTATTCTTGTCTCGCAAGATAATTCGTATTGTTATTCTAATCACATTGCCGAATTTCTATTGATCTAAAGAATAAAGTTTACGCGGTGATGAATGAGGGCTGGAGAACACAAATGGACATCCGTCTGTTTGTACAAACATTATAACATCAGTTTCTATCTGTTCAGGTTGTTTTGAACGTTGAGGAATTTGCACATCATTGTAGGCAAAATATTTATCATTTTTGTTATAACAGGTCCTAAAATCCATTGTATAATTATTATTATTGTTTAATTCAAATGATCGTGATTTTGCCGGTAAAAATGATGTTGCTTTTAAATTTAATTTCTCAAACATTATTCGCGCTGCCGTAAAAACTGGTGCCGACTGAATAACGAAGCATTCATTAAGTTGTCCACGGATGGTATTAATTTAGCTCTCCAGTAGTTGTACAGCTTTAGTATTTTTAGAACTTAATTCCGATACTGACTTTGTTAATTTATTCATTTCTTTTGTTAGCTCTTGGAAGGGATCAGATGATGACCTAATTACACTTTCTGTGACTGTTGCACCACTTATTGATTGGCTTCCAGATTTATGTGAGTCGTCGTCGTCAACCACAGTATCAAATGCTGCTTTAAACGTTTCAGTATCAATCTTCTTGTCGTTTTTCAATTTAACAAAGATTTTTAACCTTTGGTTTATTGTAGACATTGTGATAGATATTTCTGAAAAAAATTATAAAAAGATAAGACTATATTGAACCTTGAAAAGGCGAAATGAAGAAAAGTGTCTGTTTCGTGACATAGATTTTTTATGAATTAAATAAGCAAACAAAGAAAATTAAAACAAAATAGCACACAAAGAGAAGTGAATATGATGCCGAGAGGGTCGAACATTGATACTGAGTCTCCGGTGAAGAGAGAAAAGATTTTTTTGTGAACCTCGCTTCTTCACTTGAGACGAGCAGCTGCCAGAATTGATACAAGGTACATTATGAGAAAACAAATCAAAGCAATTTCCACTTCGAGATATTTGGTGTTTTTACTACGTGTCACCTAATAATAGCGCCAGAAATTCTGACAGTCTATACTTTACGGTGTGTAACGTAGTGGACAAAAGTTGAGGTCACTTATATTTTCGACTTTCTCCTTGGCCAAGATAGAGAACAAATTTAATAGCTCAATGAGTTTCTGACGAGAAGATTGAAAATAGAGTCTCTGGACAGTAGATTTCTAGTAGAATGAGACGTATTCGTGCTTCGTATAACATTTTTTCATTTAATTGCACTCAGTTGATGAAAGTTCTCAATGGCAGGTTTTTAGTTTCTGGTTGTTTTGTGGGTTTTGATAATTCGAGGCTCTTATGTAAACCGGATGCAGTTAAATGAAAAAATGTTTTACGAAGTTCAAATGCATCTCATTTTATCTTAGGGATCTTGATTATCTATAAACTCATTTTTAGCAATTCTGATGAAAATTGCGTTCAAGCTTCTTATGAAAAGCTCCGTTCGCTGTCCAAATCTTTTCCAAACTTGTCCTACTATCTTGGTCGAGGAAAAAGTCGATAATATAAGTGACCTAAACTTTTGCCCACTGCGTTACATACCGTCGTGCGTTACAGACTGTCAGAATTTCTGGCGCTATTATTAGATGACACGTATGTATTGCTTATTCTGACGTTAAAAAGATGGAAATGAGAGAAATGTTTTCGTATTGGTACAGTGTCTATTGTACAATGAAAGGAAAGGAAAAATTTTCATTCAGCGGAGTCATACTGTATATGCATTTCGATACAGTGAAAAAGAAAACATTTTCTGTGTATTAAGGCCGCGTCCGATTTTTGTAAGAAAAAGATAGAAAATCGTAAGAGAGAAGAAAAATTAGAGAAAATTGAAAAGCTAAATCGGGAGAAATTTAATATGTCAATAGAGACTTCGTTTTGAAGAATACTGTTTCAACATTGATGCATGCCCAATACGCACGTTATAGCATGTGTAGTACGTTATCATGTAACCAATAATTTATAGAATCCTAAAGTCAATTAACGCCTACACTAGCTGTATACTATAGAAGGAAATACCGCTGCTCTACCGTATGTTGCCTTTACTTAGACTGGTTCTTTTAGGATTCTTCTCTCGTTCTATTTCAGTTTCAAACAGAGCAAGAATGCGTGTTCTGTACTCATGCGGTAGTCGATCAATCTTCGTTTCTATCATTCTAGCACACGAAGTGAGTACTGATGGTAAAAGTGACCTTTTCGCCCAGCGTCGTTTGAAAATGCTCAGTTTTTTCTTCCTTTTTGACGCAACAGTGTCGAGATAAGCCTGCCCCCGATGGCCATCGAAAACTGTGGATTATCAGCGTGGGAATATGAGGTTATGAACGAAACGCTGACGCGAGTTCTCTACGTGAGTCCACTATCAAGCAAGGAAATATATGCATTGGAGTAAACTTTTTGACCATGATAGTAAATGTACGCGAACAAAAAATAATTTAAACGACCGGTGTCCTATACTTATTTTACCTTGAAAGCGATAACTGTTTGAGAGCTTATTACTTTTTTCTCATTAACATCGCAATTGTAAATCACGGTTTGAGTAGTGGCGGTGCCTGGGCTCAGCATCATAATTTTTCAAAAATCCGTTCAGAATTTTTACGTGACTATTGCTAGTGAGTACTCTGTTTTCAAATTTTTGGGTGCTCGGGCTCAGCCCACTCTAGCCCTGCCCTGGAGCCGCTAATAGGTTTGAGGAATCAAACCGATACAGTCAAAATGCAACAAGTTGACGGAGTTTTTAAATTGAGTAAAAACTCCTTTGAATAGTAAAAACTCCAGAAGAATAGAAGAAACAGTCAGTCTGCGCAAAGATAATAATGGAAGAAAAGAAAAACGCTTGTTTCCTTTTGGCTCCAAAGATCAGCTCCAAAAAATGGCCGATTCCAATAAGAAAATATATTTATAGACGGTGTGTGATTTGTTGCAAAGGACTGTAAAACTATAGTATTCAATCAAACTCACGCAGACACTGCTTTACACTCAGTGTTTTTTACTTCGTGGAAATCGAGAAACTTCTTTTCTCAGCAAAAAACTTTTATCTCTTTAAAGAACTTTATATTTCTTATTTATACTCTTTATATTTGGGAGCTGCTATCTGATGCTAAGTGGAAACAACGAAAAAAATAGTCCATCCAGCATCTGTGTTTTATCTCGTGTTGTAATAGGCTCAAACGCAATTCAGGAGAGTTTCATATGCATCAGCACACTTCATTGTATTTTATTCAATTGACCTTAGTCTAGGGCCTTACAAAATGGTTGTCTGTGCACTGCAAGACTGAAGTTCACATAAGCAGTCCGTTTTTATAACACAAAAAAACACCATCTACGAATAATAAAACTTACAGAATACAGAGGTTATGGCGAATCCATCGGAATTACTTAATGCCTTCCTTAGATCACCAGTGGGTTGTCCAGGAATATTTTTAGCTTCATATTGCTGATTTCTATCGAATGAAAGAAGTTCATAACATTTCCCACCTGATCCGGCTGTGAAGACCGACCGAAGGGAGGCGTGAGTATTGTCTGCATGATAGAAATCTCTATAGGTGAGCGTTGTCTTGTATTCAAACTCATGGGAGGTCGTTTGCAGATAGAAGCCGCCAACTGTAAATAAAATTTTTTATTATTAGCAGGTAGGATGAGATATGTGTATCATCCAGATGCTAACAACTATTCTTACCTTTTGTGAGAAGAAAACTATTTATATATTGAAGTAACCTTTTTATTCAGATTTTTGAATTTTCGTATTTTTTCAATTTTCAAAACCATTTTCGGGGAAAACCAAAGTAAGATATTGGGATTCAGCGTGAAAAACTGCGTCGAACTATGTATAGAAATCAAAAAAAATAAAACGTGCTCCGTTTTAGAATTTCTTTAACGCTGGAGGAGAGGGGGTTAACCACCCCCAAACCTATCCTCAAATTGTGCCAGTTTGTAGAGTGTGTTGAGTACTATGTATCTTCAAGAAATTTCGGCGGTCAGTTGTTTTTTTACAATAATTAATTCAAATAAAAACGGCTGTTTTAAGAAGGGAATCACCGCCACACTTGTGGGACATGTCTCATAGAGGAAGAAAATATAGGTCTATATATGACTTGACAAGGACTACTAGGCCTTGTCAAGTCATATACAGACCTATACTTAGCATAGTAAACAGCTGGCGACTCGAGACCCTGTGGTCAAAGACCTGTGTGAAAGCACTTGCTAGTTGTAACAAATGAGTATTCTAAATATCTCTATCCCATCCTATTCCTGTTGATAATATCGAATACTAATCTGTGCTTGACAAAACCAATAAAAACTATCCATGATCTATCGCCCTCAAAGAGGGAGGTATAAATACGATAACCGTCTAGAAAGAGTTAATTTATGCGTAAATTTAGTAATGTAATTTTTGTTGCTAACATGAAAATTAGAAAATGGAAGAAAATACTGATTCATTGCAGCGAATCTCATCATCACTCGATCAAGTTATCGATCAATCTATAGGAATATGCAAAGAATGCTTTCAACATCGATTCTCAATCCAGATAAACGTGCCAGTTTAGCATCACAATGCTCGAAAACAATAACGCAATATAAATATGATTTAATGATGTTAACAATAGCTACGGGAGAAAATATTATCCGAGGACACTTACAAAAATTTAATGATCTTAAAGAAAAATTTACATTACTTCATCATGATAATCTACAAGTATCGACTGATCAATTTGTCAAAGCAATTGAAGAGCGTGCAACAATGATGGGAAAACGTTTCGATACCATGCTTCAATATAAATTGAAGACTTTTTTCGACGAAGCTCCGACGATATCAAACGAATAAAGCATCGTCGTCATCGGAGCTATGTATTTATTTATACAAAAATTACTGCTTCATCACCTTTCATTGAAGTCGAATTAAATTTAACACCGAAGCAAATGTCTATGTTCATTAAAGGTTTAAAATATATCTTACCGTGCCAAAGTCGATTTTCCCGTCAAACACTCGAACAAAAGGTCGATGAACAATACCAAAGTCTGTTGACGATAGTAAAAAGCTGTATACACGATAACCGTATATCCGCTTCAGATCAACGCGCACAAGAAGCTTTTCCAGAATTAAAAAATCTTATTCATGAATTACATGTCAAAAGAAAAGGGAATCTTTTCTTTAGGAAAAGATTGGATCCGATATTACAAAGCTGACATATTAGAAAGTGAGAAAAAGCTTGTTATTAGCACTCGACTTGGTACAGCAACCGTATTAATTGATAAAGATGTCGAAAAAATAGCATGTGATGTTAAATTAATTCATTCAGTTACGTTAGGTCCACTTCAAGAATGTGATGTTGATGTGACAGCACCATTCTCAACAGCGGACCCATGATGCATAGTTTTCTCTTAATGTTTGTCGTCCAAAATTTCTCCATTCTGCAGAACTATGCTCCAACTTTCCTGTATGTGCCATTTCTTTTGCCCATCGTTGAGCAATCGTTGAAAAATGATCGTTTAATCCGACTGGTCGAGCATTTAAACGATCTAATTATGATTTTCTTAGAAAACAATGTATGATTTAATATAATCAATCTATTTTTTATTATTCTAAGAGAGATGCATGTCTAAGTGAATGATATAGTTTAAAAGCGGCTTTGCCCTACCAGGCATTATGAGTATAAATGAGTTTTTAGCAAGTTGTAGTTCACTTATAAAAATATAAGGCAGTTTATCTGCACGAATCAATAGTTAGAAAATTCTCCAATAAACACAAAGCACGTGTACTTATATATTGCCATGAGAAAAGAAATATGTGTTTCAATATATGCGTTTATCGAAAAGGAAGAAATAGAAAAAGACGGTCGTGTGGAAAGCGATTAGATCAAGAGTATATTCCATTCTGAACAATAACAGGTTAACCGTCTATTTTCCGATCGGGATATAAAGTCGACTAAAATTTGTTAAAAGTTTGTATTCGAAAAAATAGTTGCTGGACGCTTGATACACTTTTGACAGCAGATTTCGTGTAGTTTCTCGAGCTCTTTCTAATGGTGATGTCAATTTTTCCCTTAATCGTTTTTACGATTTTTAATTTTGATTTAATTTTGTGTTTTATATCCCGATCGGGATATATATCTTAATCAGAATATACGAGGTGTCCCCTTACTGTAAGATACTATACTACTGCACATCAACTCCACTTTAAAAAGAACAAAATGAAGGTTTCATTTATAGTGAGAGAAGAAAAAACGATAAGACAAAAAGAAGCGATGTCATGGTTAGGGGTGATACTTTACTTTTACCAATTATTACATTATCCGGTAAAAGTAATAAACGGTTGTTACTTATTACCGGTAAAAAGGTAATAAATCTTGCTGTTTTATTACTTATTACTTCTTTATGTAAT